CTCCAGATTGTAAATCCAAAAAGCCATCATTTTCCTCTTTCTCTTTTCTTTCTGTCGAAGTTTTTAACTAAAAAAAAAAAAAACTACTTTCTAAAACATTAAATTAAATCTAATTGATCATTAGCGCAAAGAAATTTTGCATTTATTTGGTCGATAATTTATCATTCTTCCTGCACTTTGAACCTATTTCAAAGATTCATACCAAATCATTCCATTCAGCCATGAAGAATTTAGCAAAAACTTGAAAAATTGAAATATACTTCCAACTTTTAATTAAATAATGAAATGAAGATTAATTACCTTTGATTATTCAACAATTTTTTAAACTCATATCTGTACATTACTCAACCTACATCGAAGTTTTATTCCTTCAAAAAAAAAAAAAAAAAGGAAAAAAACGAAATTAAATAAATAAAATTGTACAGTATGATGAAGTATCCTAATTTCTATTTCGTTTTTAAGGTAAAAATTATCAGTGCAAAATCGATTATTTTAAAATAAAAAACTGATAACTATAAAAGTTGATTATTTTAATTACTAACATAAACATTAAAATTTTTTACAAATTCTTCGAAATATTTTGAAGAAAATTTAATATCCATTGATGCTTACATAATGTTGTTTAAATTTATTCCATGTAACAAAATGATAATTCAAATTAACTGTTTAAAATATTAATGACAGAATAATTTTCGATAATAATGGAATAAATTTTAGCATTTAAAATTGTAATCATAAAATAATTTGAAGTGGTAAAATTTTAAAAATTTATAAGAATTAATAATTACTATCAAGGATGGATTATTTCTCTTCCTTTTCTTTTCTTTTTTTTATTATTATTAGGATGAAATTAAAATTAACCAAATGAGCTCTCAATAGTTATCAATAAATGCAATTTGGAAATTATATTAAATGAGAAAATTGAAAAATGTTTTTGCTATCATAGCAAACTTCAAATTTTATCAACGTTTGTGAAATAACAAAAAAAAAAAAGTTGACCTGTTGTGTTAAATGCAAATAATTGAAATTCGATAATTCGATTTTACAACTTTTACATCGGCTAATGATAATGTTTATTAAAATAGTTTTAAAATTTTACCCTCAATTTACTTCACACTTTTGATTCAAATATTTAAAAAGTAGTAACTATAAAGACTGCAATTTTATGGACAGTTTAAGAATTTTAAGAATTTTCCGATATAAACAAAAAAAAAAAAAAGAAAAAGGGTATGAATTTAGTTGGTTTAAATGGAAGCTTCCAATTTCTTGCTAGAAATTTTAAATTTATTTTTCACATGAAAGCATTGCCTTGTTTCAAATTTTCAGGAAACAATAATTGTGACAACCGTTGCGACAACAATATTAACCCTGAAATCAACAACAATGGAAATTGATTCCGGTGATATGGATAGTATTTTAGAGGCGGAATTGAGCGAAGATGGCTCAATGCATGTCAAACCAGCTATAACTCACGTGATTAATGTGCCATGGTTATCCCATAATTTGGTACCATTTACTCGTACCACTAATTTACCGCTAACAGCTAGAAATGGTTCTGAATCATTTCCGGATCAGGATAACGAAACGAAAAGTATGGAAATTCCGGTAACTTCGGATAATTTAGAAAGTATAACAAGTTCGGAATCAAAAGCTAAATTTCAAGCAATTCATACAATAACAAATAATTCTGATGAATTTCCGGATAAAATTGAAGCAACAACAATCTGTTGTTTTAATTTTGATATTACCGAAAAAATTGCTATTCTTCAATCGAAATCGAATCAAGATGTAGAAGTTGAAACATTTCAATCTATTGCTATGGCAAAATCATCAAAGCCTGAATTTGAATCTGAGGCAAAATCAGTATCAGGAAATCTCGGTCAAACGAATCATTCGGTAGAAATAATAGCATTGATTAAATTAACAAAACAAAAAGAGAGAAATAATGAAAAATCAAAAGCTGCAAAAACAAATTTATCAATTATTTCCGTTTCAATTGCTTGCTTAATCGTTTTTGTCTTTTATTAAGATTTTACAAATTTTTGGCAAAATTTAAAATTTGAACTCGAATTTTACATTTCTTAGTAATTCTATTTTGCATTGCAATTTTTTTATTGCAAATTTGTTTCATTCAAATATTTTTGTATTCATATAATCTGAATATTTTTGAATTTGCATATAATTCGAATTCATTTATTTAAATAATTCCCAATAAATCGAAAACTTGAATTATATTCATTAAGTCAACTGTGTTCTTTTCAGTCCTCTCTCTCCCCTTTTCTCTTTTTAATGCTCTCTCTCTCTCTCTCTCTCATTTATATTTGTCAATCATTTTTGTTGTCACATGTTGAAAAACAAAAAAAAAAAAGGCAAAAATGATTTATAAAAAGTCACGTAACACGGAAAATACGCATTGCTTCGATTGCTTTAAGATGCTTTTTTTTTTCGCATTCTTTATGGTGTCACCATTCTCATTTATATTTGTCAATCATTTTTGTTTTTACACGTAAAAAAGCAAAAAGAAAAGTCGTTTATAAAAAGTCACGCAACACGGAAAATACGCATTCCTTCGATTGTTATAAGATTTCTTTTTTTTCTATATCGTTTATGGCTTTACCGTAATTAAATCATTTTTCTTTTTTACAGAAATATTTCAATTCAAAGTATTTATTATGCTTTATTAATGATTTTCAATAAAAAAAGAAGAGAAAAAAAAGGATGGCTTAAGTTATTATCACGTGGATAAGTAAACACAAGATTTGCTAATTTCAGACTTTAGTTGAGGTCTAAGAGGTCTAAAAAAGGACAGTAAGGTATTTCAATGAAACATTCTTTTTTTTATTTCACATCAAAAAAAACCTAGTAAATAAGTAAATCGTTTTCAAAATTAGAAATGATTATTTAATTTTAAATCAAAATTGGTAGCAATGAATACTGTAATTTATTGTTATTATTCCTTTGATACTACGTTTTTGCATGCGACAAAAGATGAAAAAGTAAGTGAGAAAGTTAATAAAATTAAAGATAATAAGCAGCTAAATACGTTATATTGAAGAGGATATATACAATAAATAATAAAATAAAATTAATATATCATTTGATTTAATTCATTCAATTCTTTTTTTAATATTTTTCTTTTTTCATTTTTTTAATTTTTTTAAAAATAATTTTTTTTTCGTTCAGAAAATTTCTCTTTTTCAGTAAAAAGGGAGAAAAAAAATGTTAGAAAATTTGAGAAAAACAAACAATAAATAAATATTGGAAATTTAAAATTCAAATTTTTTTCTTACAACAAATAAGGAAAATGCCCTGGGCACAGTAATAAATGCTTGATTCCTTATCATCTACTAAAAGATTAGCTTCACGTAATGCTTCAAATAATAAATTTTCGGTAAGATAAAAACACATAAATTTATGTCCACCAAATGAACACCATGTTTCCTCGAAAACACCACCCATCACAAACCAACCTAAAATAGGAATTAATTAACGAGTAATTGTTTATTCACTTTTTTTTTGCCAAATAATTAAAATATGAATTTTAATTATTCCTTTTAAATTCAAAGATTCGAATTAATTATTTCAAATAACATCTTTTATTTTGTTTCAATTCATAGCGTTTATCTCTGTTATAAAATGTGCATAATTTTGAAATTTTCCTTACTAAAAACATTCATATAATTTCATTTTAAATTAATTATTCGAATGTCAAGTGGACAATATTTTTCTGCTTAAAATTTCTAAGAGAAAAAAAGAAAGGTAACATACCTCCAGGTTTTACTTGATCCACAACATTTCGTACCGCTTCTTTATATTCCATCACATTACTGCAACAATATTCCAAGCAAAGAATACTTGAAACTATCTAAAATATTAATTTTGAAAAAAAAAAAGAAATTGAAAATAAAAGAATGGAAGAAAAAAATAAATGATGAATTTAGGAAATTTTTTAAATATTCAAATAAATTTCAATTCAAAGAAATTGAAAATTAAGTTAAAAATTTTGCTAATTAATTAAAGATTACCAACTAACGAGTAAAAGTATTGTATTTGCATGATATATTAAATGTATAATTCAAAATATCTCATACTATTTTAATATTAAATTCAATAATAGTATTTGTCATTAATATCGATATGAAATGCATATGGGACATTATTATTTCATTAATTTTACTTACATCGAAATTATTTTGGAGAATTTTTGGAGCATTTATTGATGGTTTATTGTGGCAATTACAATGAAAAATTGAACGAATCTGCAAATAATTCATGTAAAATTATGCATACATATGAAATAATTTCTTATAATTAATGGTATTTCATCATAAATTAATTACTAATTAATATTATCAGAAAAAAAAAACAATGAATACATTTGTCCTTAATTTTTATTCTTTTATCATTTACAATTCACAAAGGAAATTTTCAAATATTTTTATTTATGCTATTAAAATTACGACCTTTGACTTAGTATATTGTTCCATTTCTTTAAGTTGCAACCAACCGGAACCTTCTACCGTGGCAATTTTTTTAAGTACCGGAGTCCAATCAAATGAACTTTGACCACTTGCCCATCGATATAATTCATGCCGATTTTGGGGTAAATAATCCGCCAAGTATATCTAGAATATAACGTTAAATTTGTAATTAATCTAAAAAAAATGTATTGAATTTTTAAATTAGTATTTTATAAAACAACGGGATATAAATCAAATATAGTCTTTATAAAGTTTCATCTCTTTTATAAACTATTGTTTTATAAAATAGCCATAACAAAAATATAGTCTATTTGAAGTTTATCCAATTTATAAACTAACCATTTTGCAAAAAAAAAAAAAAAGCCAAATATGTGCCAGAAATAGAGTCTGTTTCATGTACTAAATGAGCCAAGTATGTAACAAAAATAAAGTCTGTCTCATTGTCCAAAATGAGCCAAATATTTGTCACAAATATACATTAACATTTATTTAATCTATCGAAAATATTACAAATCGTTATCATTTTTTTTGTTTTATTTTTAAATATACATATGCATGTATTTGAAAAGATATCCTGTATATAAGCTTTAAAATTAAAAGTTTTTTTTTTTTTAAAAATTTTTTATGACAATTTTATGCCAACCATATATATAAAAATATATTTGAAGTCGTTTATCATTTCAAAATTTATCAAATTTTAACAGAAAATTCTGATAATTTTATGAAAGTTTTTGAAATCTTTTCAATAATTGATTTCAAATAAAAATTATTAAAAAAAAGAAAAGAACTAATGACCTATTTTAGATTGTATTATGTAACATGGATATTTTCAAAATTTTTAAATTTCATCAATCTTTTTCTTCTTCATTTATTTTTCTTTTCAGTTTTTTACAGTCTTTTTTATTTTTCAGTTTTTAAATTTATAAAATTTATTTATTGAAATAGTTTTAAGAAGCAAAAAAAAAAAATTCAAATATAAATTTTTCCATTTTTTCTTCTTTTTTTTCATTTTAGATAAAATTTTAAAACAGTTTTTTTTTTCTTTTTGTTTTCTAAACAGGAAAGAAAAATTGAAATTTTTTGCAAGATAAAAAAAAAAAAAAAAAAAAAAAAAACAAGAAAGCAGCACGAAAAATTCATGAATGATTAATTGTTGGATGAATGAATATCAGTCTAAAGACAGACTTTTTTTTTGCTTCCTCTTTCTCTCTCTCTCTCTCTCTCTCTCTCTCTTCCTCTCTCTCCTTCTTNTA